CCCAGAGTATATTGGAAGAAAACACTCGTTCCAGATCTATTAATTTCGTTCGTATTACTAATAAAATGTCTAAAGCCATTGCATATGCTGAGAGGCGTGGCGGAGAATGTCTTGGTAAAACTGGCCAAATAAATGGTTTCGATGTATATCTTTGGTCATGTGAAAATGGACTCCATCAATGGGAAGCACCTTATAAAATCCAGAAGAATAAATTCGAATGGTGTCCAGTTTGTTTCCGCCATACTGATGAGCGTCGTTGTAGATATATTTTTGAGGATCTGTTAGGTAAGAAATTTCCATCTTGTAAACCGTCATTTTTGAATGGGATGCAATTAGATGGATATAACGAAGAACTAAAATTAGCATTCGAATTCCAGGGTGTCCAACACTATCATCGCAATAGTTTATATCACAAAAATCAAGATGATCTAGATAATCAAAGAAAGCGCGATCAAAAAAAGCAGGATATATGTGCTCGAGAAGGTATAGATCTTATTTGTATCCCGTTCGATTGTGATTTATTTCCCTATATAAAAAGTAAATTACAAGAGAGGTTATTTGTTGTATAAAGAATAAATTCGCAAATATAAGTACCCATGTCGTACATTAAATTATTGCAAAGCAATGATGATGCAAAACATCGAATCTCCGATTCCCCTTTGGGTCTACATCCTCTATATCTCCCTGAAATTTTAACTGAAATTTTCTCATATCTTGCTGAAGATAAAACATTATACCCGACCTTATTCGTCAACCGGTTATGGTATTTATGTTCCGCCCCAATATTATGGAAAAGAGTCGAATTTGTTGGTTGTAAAAAATCTCTTATCTACTGGAAAAAGTTCAAAGAAGTGGTACATACACGAAAATCTCTCTATATTTCAAAATTAAATGAACTTTATATTTCTAGATGTAAAGTCTCTGGTGGAACCTTATATCAGATTAGAGGTCTATGTCCAAACTTGCGACGCTTGACTATAAGCAACTGTCATGGATTTTCTAGCGAAACAATTGGAAGAATCGTATACCCGAGCTTAATATATCTTAAATTCCGCCATCATCGTATCAAGGATAAAACTATTTATAATATTGCCTCTTCATGCCCAAATTTAACCTATCTCTATTTAGGATATAGTGAATACATCTCTGATATTTCTATTATAGAAATTGCCAAGTCGTGTCAAAAGTTAAAATATATCAAAATAGGTGGTGCCCACATTACTGATATCTCATTAAAAGAAATCGCTCATCTGTGTTCGAACCTTCAACATATCCACTTGATCGATTGTGAAAAAGTGACGGATTATGGAATTAGCGTTATAGCCACCTCATATCCAAATATGCTTAGTTTTTCTTTTACAAATGGAAACGGTTTATATGATAAATTTAATAATGAGGGTATTTCCGATGTTTCTGTTAAAAAAATCGCTCAGTGTTGTCCCGATCTCCAATATCTTAATGCTAGTTGGAATTGTATATCCGATGATTCCATTTGTATAATAGTGCGATCATGCCCAAATCTTGAACAACTTTATCTTGAAGGTTGCAATATTACCGATATAACTATGACTGCATTAGCAAATTTATGTAATCTCCAGAAGCTCGATATTGAGGAATGCGACAGAATTAGTATCAATGCAATTATAACATTGCAAAATAAAAATCCTGCTCTTGATATTGTCGGTTGGTATCCAGATACGAATAGTGAGTCGGGTATATCGTTATAAAAAATTGTATAAATCTCTGACACATATATAACAATAAAGATCATTATTTTTCAGGTATAATAATTAGTGACTTAGCTTGATCAAGATGGAAATCGAAAAACTTGAATCAAAATCAGATAATTCGTCAGAATAAAAAAACATAATATATATATTTATAACGAAAAGATGTTATATTGTGTATTTGCCGTGGATGAGGTAAAACCTTCGAAAAAATACCAGGGAGATAAAGATGCACCAGCGTGGCCTTTTCGTATCGTAATGGCAGGGGCTAGCAATTCAGGTAAGACCAATATGAATTTAAACTTGCTAACAATGCCCAAATTTTATTACATGTTTAAGAAGAGAAAGTGTTCTAAGATAGGGGAACGTAATGTTAAATGCAATGATGTAGTTCTTTTCGGACATCATTTAAATGAGCCAAAATATAAAATAGTTCGAGATTTTTATAAATACCTTGCCCAAGACAAATCAAAGCCCTATTATGAAGATGTCACATTTTCTACACTCTCCCCTGATAAAATCCCAGATCCCAAAAAGTTTAATGCTAAAAGAAGTACATTAGCGATATTTGAAGATCTTTACTCCGACCCTCCAGCTATACAGAAAAAAATTATTCCATTTTTCACCCGAGGTCGTCATGAGAATATTTCCTCAATTTATGTTGCTCAGAAATTCCACAAAATCCCAATAGATATTCGTGAAAATGCCACTCACATTGTTCTCTTTAATGGTGGGGGCTCTATTCGAAAACTTGCAGATATTATAAGTCCTTACACTGATGTAGATCCACGAAAAGCTTCAAAAATTATTGACGGTTATTTGAGACAAAAAGAGTTTATAGTTATAGATCTGAATAAACCAAGATCTGAGTCTTTCTCACTTCGATGGGACACCCCTCTTGATCTGGAAAAGGAAATCGAGGGATTAAAAGATAATAAACATTCTGCCTAACCTGAGCGTGATTTCAGATATTTTAGGAATTTTTCTGCCTCTTGCAATTCTATCCTCTTTTCTTCAACCTCGCATCGTAACTTCTTATTTTCATTAACCCGCTTTTCATGTTCTATAGTAATTTCTCGCATAAATTTACCAAAAGTTTCTTCATTATATTCAAGTAATCGTCGACATAAAATATCTAATTCTTTCTTAACACGACGATTGATTTCTTCCTCACTTGCAAAGCAAGGGCACTTATGTGCTTGATTACAGGTGCAGATCGGATTAATATTCTGGGTTTGGGTTTCTTGATTAGTCATATCTATATATGTCTTGACACCTCCTTCGGAGTTATATGATAAATTTTCAAGTGGTTCTATAGTTTTAATTTGTTTTTTACGCTTTTTATTTAATCCTTTTTCATATACCTCTAATGTATGATACAAATAAGTCTCAATTCGATCACATTTTTCAGAAATTTGCTCTGAGGTAACGGGGGATCTAGAGTGATGTAAAAGTCTATAATATGCTCTCTTAACCAGACTTTTTGGAAGATTTGCTATAATAGGATTGTAATCTGGATGAAACATTTATTATTAATTTGCGCGCAAAAAGTTTGCATGCAAAAAAAATGGTCTATATGTGTCTTGACACTAGCTCCGCTATAATTCCATAATCGTTTTTGTAATTGATCTTTTTTATTTGTGTGTTATTACTCCGAAATTGGTAATCCATCATCAGATTTAAATGTGGTTGAATTGTGCTAGAGTTGAGCTAGAGTCGCGCTAGATTTTTTCTATATAATTATATGTAAAATATCATACTTGTGCTAGAGTCGAGCTAGAATCACGCTAAAAATATATTAAATCATTATATTAAAATATAGTAAATCATAATATTAAAATATAGTAAATTATCTTTAACTACCGCTAATTCGATTTTTTAGAAAAAAAAAGTAGTATAAATATAAGTTATTTTTTGTATCTATTTCCATACCTTTTACATATCTATTATTTCCATATCTTTTACATATCTTTTACATATCTATTATTTCCATTTTCACTATGTGGACCAATGACCAATTACGATTATTAATTAACGAACGTAAATCTAGAAATATTGAATACCATAATATTGTTGGCAGTAGCAGAGTTGATTTTTGGAATGAAATCGCAAATAAAATCAATGAAGAATTTCGCACTAATTATACTGGTCATCAATGTAAGGACAAGTTTAGAAATCTTGTTAATAGTCATAATGTAAGTATTATTTTTTTTTTGCAATTACGAAATATCTATATACATGTACCGAGATATCTCACTATGATTACATTCCTAACAATTTCCCAATTATACTAGTCATTATGTCGGTATGTGGCTGGAAATAGAACGGGTCGGAGAACCAGAGTTGCTGAAAGATATTTCGATGAATTTCGTTCTTGCTTTTGGGAAAGACCTGGTAATTTCACTTTATATGAATATGTTGAAAGCCATTAGTAGAGTTAACAAGACTAATTTTTTACAAAAAAAATAGAAACGCAATTCGACCAAATTCATAATGTAAACCGATCATCCAGAAGACAGGAAGAAAGACAACGTAGCCGTACACCACCGCCATCATATGAAGAAGTTTCATCGATGCTTGATCTCTGGGAATTTTCTACTAGCCAAAGGGGACGATCCAGATCACCTCGCAGAGTATCTAATGATAGTAGGAGGAACGTTAATATTAATCAGTCTAATCAAGGCTTTGAAATAGATATACAAAACATGGGTTCTCGTATACCAGTTCTCAGCATAGATAAAAATCCTTTTATGGATAGATCGGCGTTACACACATTTAATAGACATTTCAAAAAAAGATCAACAAT